TGTGACTGTTTAGTGTATGGGAGGATATGCCAACCAACTGAGCCACACCAGCCAGGGCTTTAACAATGTCTTTGTTCATCCACCTATGATTCTTGTATTCCAGTTCTTCTGGCTTTTTATATTTTCTGAATTGTCATTTATCAGACTTCAGGACTGAGCTTAAGAAATATACTCTCTTTGTATTTATTGTCTGACAGTATCTATTTCACTCTTACTTTTACAGAAACGTTATATTACAATTGCAATTCCTTTTTTTCAGCGTGAAATGCATTTCTGAATTTTCTTTAGGCTTCTATTGCTTGTGTGAAAATCTTCTGTCAGCCTAATTTTTGTCCCTGTGTAAATATTTAGGGTTCCTTTTTATATTGTTGTAAAACTTTTATCATTACTTTCAGCATTTTGTATTTTCACTACAGTGTGTCTGGGTGTATGGGTTTGTTTATATGTTCGTGTTTGAAACTCTTGTTATTTCTTTAATTAGATGATGCTTCAATTCTGAAAGATACTATTTCATAGTCTCTTTGAATATTGCTTCTCTAACTTCTGCAACTCTTTAAAAAATTTTGTGGTACTTGATAACAAAATAACAAGAACTCTTACAGCCCAGCTGCTACCTAGCTCTCTAGCCTCAACCTCACCTTGCACTTCATTCGAGTCTTCTTTAAAGGACCTTTAGCCCTGGCCGGTTTGGCTCAGCAATTAGAGCATCAGCCTGCGGTCCGGTCCTGAGAGACCCTGGTTCAGTTCCTGCTAAGAGCATGTTCCTCAGTTACAGTTTGTCCCAGCCCTGGTTGGGTCATGCGGGTGCCAACCACTGGATGTGTCTCTTTCACGACGATGTTTCTCTCTCTCTCTCTTCCTCTCTCTCTCTCCCACTCTATGTCCCACTCTTTCTGAACAAAAAATTGAAAAATGTCCTCGGGTAAGGATTTAAAAAAAAAAAAAGGACATTTAACAGGCTCTTCCCTGAGTGAACTGCTAAAATCCTGTCTCTTCCACCAGATAACTGTAACTCATCCCTCAGGAATGCTTCACCGTCTTTTCTGATGGGGCCTTTTTATGCTCCTCTTATAATACCTGGTATTTTTCATTCAGAGCACTAGAGCCAGTTGCACTGTTACAGTTATTTGAGTGTCCGGTTAATGCCTGGCAGGCTCTTTGACTAGCTTTCTTGCTCCATGAGAGTTGTACGTTGTTTTTGATTCTGTAGGCATTTTGTAGGCACTCAAGAAATGACAGTGTTGAGACTCAAGCCATCCAGGAACTATCAAACCATCAAGGACCCAAGCAGTACTTACTCATCTCTGAACCTCAGCTTCAGTTCTCTCACAGAAGACCAGCTTTCTCTTCTTCACTGCAGACATTCTATACATTAAAAGGCTTAGGATAGATAACCTCTCTACATTAAATCGTACCCAGCACCCATGAGCCAAGACTGTCCCTGTATTTCTCACATTTTTTAATTGTCCTCCCACTTTAATGTCTATGCTATCTAGCCTAGAGCTGGAGACTGTGCCACCAACTCTGTGGAATCATTTATGGCTAAATCCTTTTTTCTTTTTGTATTCTGGAATAAGTGAGCAATTATGACTTTTTAAAGTAACAACATCTTCAAAATTCAAATAGGAAAGAATTTATCTTGCTCACACTTGAATTAAAGAAATAACCCTCTCCTGGCCAGAGTGGCTCAGTTGGTTGAGGGTCATTCTGTGCACCGAACAGTTGCCAGTTCAATTCCCAGTTGGGGCACATACCCAGGTTGTTGGTTTGATCCTTGGTTGGGGCACCTATTGAAGGCAACTGATTGATGTTTCTCTCTCTCTCTCCTCTTCTTTCCCTCTTTCCTTTCCTTTCTCCCCCTTCCTCTCTCTAAGCATGTTCTTGGTGAGGATTTTTTTTAAAAAGAAAAATCCCTCAATACATTTACCTAACAAGTATTTGTTGAACCTCAGTTGGATGCCATTCATTACATTAGGCCTTTCGGATGCAACAGTAAAAACAAACAAGGTCCCTGATCTCACTGAGATTATAGTCTAGAGAGGAAACATTAGTCCAGTACTCACACTACTACTAAATCTACAATAAAATATATATATATACATAAAATGAAATATATATAAATATATATGAAATAAAATGAAAGAAATATGATTCCTTGTGAATATTTAATAAATTAACTAGACCTAGAAGGGAAATTTCAGTAGGATGGGGAAGGTTTACTTCATGAGTGACTACTGAGCTAAGATTTTAAAGATGAATAGGAGTTAATAAGACAAAGAGGAGAGGTCACAGCATGTCAAGAAAAAAAAATCATATGTGCAAATGTCCTGTGGCAGGAAGCAGACTGGCAGTTCTGAGGATCTAAAAGAAGACCAGAGAGAATTGAGAACAGAGAAGAAAATGGAAACTTATCAGAGTTAAGGATTCAGCGTTCTTTATGAGTAAAAGACTGCTGGCTTATATGGCCTCTATTGGTCCAATTGTTATATTTTGTGAGCCAGCTATTAAATGACCGTTATTGAAAACAAAAGTATGTATATAAACTTATGTTAAATAAATTACATTAAAAATAAAGGTTTTCTAAATCTTAATCATGTATTATTACTTCACTACATTTTACCATTATTTGTAGTCATGAGCTTATTCTGTTGGCATGGTGGAAACACTTTATAATGATGCACTACAGAACATTTCTTTCCAACCTCACATTCGGTGATGTTGCATTTACTAACATAAAATTGACCACAGTGGACATTTACACTGTGAAAACTGGCTAACTTTTCAAATCAGGATCCCCTTGACTCCTAAGATCCATTGTTAAACACTTATCAGCACAGCACTAAGACTGTGCGGGATCTTGGAGACCATGTTAAGAATTGATCTTCATCACAGGATAAATGAGCAGGCATTGGATGGGTCTAAGCAGGGAGTTGACAAGAGCACAGTTCTGTTTTTTAAAGATCACTGAGACCAGCCCTGGCCGGTTTGGCTCAGCGGTTAGAGCATCCACCTGTGGTCCGGAGAGACCCGGGTTTGGTTCCCGCTAAGGGCATATACCTCGGTTGCAGTTTGTCCCCAGCCCTGGTTGGTCATGCGGGTGGCAGCCACTCAATGTGTCCCTTTCACATCGATGTTTCCCTCTCTCTCTCTTCCTCTCTCTCCCTCCCACTCTATCTGTACAAAAAATGGAAAAATGTCCTCGGGTGAGAATAAAAAAAAAAGAAAGAAAGATCACCGAGACTAGAGAAATGAAGGGAAAGCAAGGTGACTGCGTGGCCGTGTGGTAAGTAATGGTGGTTCAGACTAGGGTCAAAGAAATGAAAATACGGGTGAGTGGATTTAAGGTATATTTAAGAGTTGGACTAGAAGGCTGGGCTCTGGTGGTTTTCGCATGAACAGTCATGAGGAAGAAGTAAAACCTTTGCATCCTCCCATATTTCTAGGTGGTTGTGATGTTTTTATTTTGAGCCCAATCCTGCCACCATGTGTCAAAAGCCAACTTCACAGTTGAACAAACTTAGGCCTGAGTCAAAGAGGAGGGGAAAAAGCTACAATGGAAGCATATGGAACCGAAGGGACTATCTTCATATAAAAATAAATTATTTTTCATGTAATTCACAACTTCTCTATTTTCGTATGTGCGTAATAGTGCAGTCATGAGAATGGCCTCCAAGATCTCTGACAGTGAGGAGCTTAGTTGCTGAGAGCCCAACTGCTGTCCTCTATAATCCAGCATTTGAGCCAACGTCATCCTCTCACAAGCTGCCCCCAGACAGGGATTGAACAGGACAGAGACCCTAGTGCAAACCTGTTTTGGGAGATTTCAGATTCCTCTGATGGGCAGCTTTAACTCCATGATTCCCCAGTGCCCTTGGAACAAACTGTTCTTAAAACTAACATGCTTCCACCCAGTTTTCCTGTCTGCAGAATGATTCTCCTGCACTTGGGGTAGGATCTGCATCTTGGTCTGACTGCTCTGCCAACATTATTCTACTCCACGCCTCTGCCTGTGTCTGGCAGGTTTTGAGTGGTGGTTGTGACTTGGGTCCCACCGCAAGTGATAGCAGGCATCTGTGGTACAAGTTCCTGGGTCCAAGAGCATGTTTTGCCCCCTTCCCCAAGGTTAGTCGGCCTTTACTTCTACCTTGTCCCAGAGGAAGGAGGTCCTTGCCTGTATCTTAGAGGTTAGAGGGGGTTTTACCATTTCCCCAGTTCTTAAAGCTTCTGTTTTGTAAAAGAGAAGGGTCTAGGAAGTGGGTGGGGTTTTGTGCCTGTTTGCTTAAGAGGGGCTCTTTCCAGTTTCTTCCCTGCCCTCAGGCTCCCAGGTGAGAGGCTCAAGGAAGAGACAGTGACTGAGGACAGATGACCCTGTCTGGAGTCTTAGGAATTTTAAATTGCCGTGACAGCACACACTCTGCCCTTAATTGTTCATTCAAGTTTCGGCTGTTTTTTTCTCATTTTGGTGGAGGCTGTGTCTTTCCCTGTGATTTGCCAAAGGTGAAACAACTGAAGTGTCCTAGCTCTCCTAAGAGGGCTGGAGACTCATTGCATTTCCGTTTATTTGGTTTTTTTTTCTTTTTTTTCTTAGTTCTCTGATGTTCCAGAAAAGTTATGATTTTGAAAATTGTCTGGTGTTTTGTCATTTTTAGCATGTAGCTTTCTTCATGCTAAGCCAAGTCCCCTCCTTTTGTTTTTGAAAATCAGTTCTGCTTCTGCATCAGGATTTTATCTTGGGTGGGTATGGCAGAGTTAGGAATAAAACATAGGTATAAATAGTGTATTATATTCTAGGCATGTGAAGTCATTATGTTATCAAACAGTTGACACTCTTATGGTGGCTATTCTGTAAATTCATGGAATGAAAACATTATGCAGTAATGGAATCCACAATTCAACAATAGTGCTCCCGTAGCAGACTACAGCTAGATGGGAAAACATTGTTTCCAGTTTATTTTGCTTTGGGTCATTTTTCAACACAGTTACCTTGTGCTTTCCACCAGGTGGTTGACCAGATTGACACCCTGACCTCTGACCTACAGCTGGAGGATGAGATGACCGACAGCTCCAAAACGGACACCCTGAATAGTAGCTCAAGTGGCACAACAGCCTCCAGCATAGAGAAGGTCAAAGTGCAGGCCAACGCACCTCTCATTAAACCCCCAGCACACCCATCTGCTATCCTCACGGTCCTGAGAAAGCCAAACCCTCCACCACCTCCTCCACGGTTGACACCTGTGAAGTGTGAAGGCCCCCAAAGGGTGGTGCCAGCTGTCACTCCCGTAAAGACCAATGGCACCCTTCTGCGGAATGGAGGCTTACCAGGAGCACCAAACAAAATTCCCAATGGAGATGTCTGCTGCACACCCAGTAGCAACTTGGACAAGGCGTCCCTGCAGCCTCTGATGCATAGACCTGAGAAAGACAGATGTCCCCAGGCAGGGCCTCGGGAAAGGGTTCGGTTTAATGAAAAAGTGCAGTACCATGGCTATTGTCCTGACTGTGACTCCCGGTATAACATAAAGAGCCAGGAGGTCCATTTACACAGCGAACCTGTTCAGCCACCAGGGAAGCTCCCTCACCAAGGCCCTCCCCGCCCTCCTCCACCGCATCTCCCTCCATTTCCACTCGAAAATGGAGGACTGGGAATAAGCCACAGCAACAGCTTCCCCCCTCTCAGACCTGCAACTGTGCCTCCTCCCACTGCGCCAAAACCACAGAAGACGATCTTGAGGAAATCAACCACTACAACAGTGTGATGTATGCCATTTAAAAACACTTTTTGTTTTATTTTAATTTTTATATTATAAACATAATAAGTAATGAGCACTTTCTACTCAAGCAATAAAAAGCCCAAATATATTAATCCTGCATTCAGCAAAGTGGCATAAAAATCACCTGGTAAGTATGCAGTACATTGTTTTTATCCTGGGTATACACTGTTTAAAAAATTGCATCATCAAAAACCACAGAATAATGAAAAAGCTGAATATGTGGTGTTTTCTTTTTGAATTGACCTGTGACAGTGACCTGCAGTTTCAAATTGTTTGATTTACTATACGAGATGGGAATAGATTAGTTTTATTCATGCCTCATCTATGTATTAATAACATGTCACACTATTCACTTTGACCTAATCCTTTTTAATAAGAAATTTTAATAATAAAGGAGCATTTTATTATTTTTTCTACAGATGTTTATCACTAGTTTTGCATTATTAAATGCTGAGGACAATACCAAAAAGGTCATTTTCTATATCATACAATTATATGTTCATCTATATAAATATGAAATACTTTGGTGTATGGAAATATCATATGTCAACAGACAGTAGATAATGGCAAAACCAAATGTTCCTCAAAATAAAAATGAAGCCATGGTGCATTTAATCCCATGTTAATAGTCATCAAAGTGGGTAGTAACACCAAAAGAGTTTGGAGAAGATCACAGTGAATATATGTGAGATGTTTTAAATTAAATATAATAATCAGGTCATAGAATTTTACACATTTTTATATTACATATTTTGGAGCCTCAAGGACCATCTATTGAACGCCTCCTACACTGCCAACCCCTCTTGAGCCTTGTCGCACTCAGCATTGCTCCAGACGCACGGTTAGCCAGGACACCGAAGCAGTGGATGATCTGCCTCCTGTATCAGCAGATCTCTGCCTCCTCCAGGGAACCCCATTATAGGAGAATCATAGGGGAAAATAAAGATGCTTCTAGAACAGGATATTGTTAGCCTTAAGCTGATTCCCCTAAGAGTTGAAATATGCCAGGGGTTTTTGTTATTCTGTAGAAGGAAGGAAAGAAATCCTTCCCTTCTAACAGCTAATAAAGGCTCTTTCTTCAGTCTAATTGACCAGTTCAGGTCACTTACTCACCCATGGACCGAGGTTACTTCCCAATTACCATCACATGGACTGATTGGATATATTGCCTTGGAACTATAGAAATGAGTTTCTCTCTCCTAAAATCATGATGACAGGAACAGGCTGAATAATAAATATGTGTCCATTAAGAAAGAGTAGAGGGAGTCGAGTCATCTTTGGTGAAAATTTGTTTATTGTACAACTTAATAAAGAGTACTGTAATTATTTTGACTATTTGGCTTTTGATGTTTTGTGTTTTTTTTGTTGTTGTTTTAGTGGGAGAGAGAGAAAGAGCAGAGAGAGAAACATCAATGTAAAAGGGACACATCAAGTGGCCGCCACCCGCACAACCCAACCAGGGCCGGGGACAAACCGCAACCGAGGTACATGCCCTCAGCAGGAAGCGAACCCCGGTCTCTCTGGACCGCAGGCCGACGCTTCAACTGGCCAGGGCATGGCTTTTGATCTTTAAACTTCAATTTGTGTTGCTATGGGGAGGTAGTATTCAGTCATATTTCTTTGTGCCTTTTTCAAGCTATATCATAGTAATTTGGAATACTATTTTTTAAATAACTTTCTATTAAAAGGTGATAGTATATTTTAGGCAGAATGATGGAAAGAGAATAGGCTTTATTTTTTTAAAGGAACAATCAAATGAGTAAAAACAAAGAGGACGTCATATTAAAAATTACTCAGAATGATTTTTGTTCTGTGTTTGTTGGACAGGAAGGTAATATAAGCATAACACATTTTTCAGAAAGTTACAAAACATAAGACCAATAATCAAGAAAGGCCATAATCAAAACTTATTAATTGTATGATCAGTATGTTTCATAAATATGAGTCAGATAAATAAATGATTTATTGAATACCAAAATAATGTATTCTTAACTTTTTAATGCATTATTTAGCTTGATATAAATAAACCCAGGGTTTCATTATCTTTCTAGATTTAAATAATACTTTCAAATGTTCATCCAGTGTTTAAACCTTTTGACATTATAAACAGTCTTAGAAGACATGTAGTTTTATCCCTTCAGCTCATCTTTCTTCCATAGCCTGTTACTATGATCCAAAGCTACCCCTTAAAAGACAATCTTTTAAATATGATTAGTGACATTTGCCCAAACTATAATACCTGTTTTTAGTTAATAAATTTATAAGCAACTATTGGCCTAGAAAGCTGAGTTAAATCCCAACCTAAAAGAAGTTATAGTTACTGACTTTCTTCTCTTATTATAGTTAATAATATAATCATACTTAAGTGTTAGGTTACAGCAGTGTTGGGACTTTCTTTTGACTTTATTTGCTCCATATGTTACTTTCTTCCATTAATGTATGGAATATATTGGGCCAATAAGACAAGGTTTTTGTTGTTGTTTGTTTGTTTGTTTTTGTTGTTGCCCAAACTGATGATTAGGTAACATTCACTAAAACTTAGTTATGTCTTTAAAAAAAAAATATATATATATATATATATATGTAAAACATAGATAGCAGTTAACACAGAGCATCATAATATTTGTCTGGAATCTTGTGATTCAAGTGTCTTAGTCGCAGTGCAATTTTTGTAATCAGCCAACCTTGCTTTCAAAATTTAAATTCTGAACTGTAAGCTCTGTGCACCATCCATTAAATTATAACACACGGTATATAATTCCTGTTCCTGAAGATGCCAAAGTAGAAATGCTTTCCTCAAATCATAAGGGAAGGTTTTTTTTTCACAATATGCATTTGAACACTTTCAGTCACATATAGAGTAGTGCACACAGAGGTAGCTTCCATACCCCTTTGAAAGTGATGTTTCTACAAAGTATAAAATGGTAATACTGCTAATGACAATGTCCATTCTTTTAAAAAAATTTTTATTATATTTTTAAATTGTTGACAGTATTATAGTTGTCCCCCTTAGGGCACCTCCTCCCAGTCCTTGCCCCACTCTAGGCCTTCACCACACTCTTGTCTGTGTCCATTGACTATGCATATATACATATGGTTAATCTCTTCCCATTCCCCTCCTTCCTCCCATCCCCTGCTCTGAGATTTGTCACTCTGTTCCACGCATCCATGCCTCTAGACCCATTTTGTTAATCAGTTTTTGATATTCATTAGATTCCACATATAAATGAAATCATGTGATATATGTTTTTTTCTGACTTTTTATTTCACTCAGCATAATATTCTCTGTGTCCATACATACTGTCACAAAGGGTAAGAAATTTTTCCTTTTCCAAGCTGTACCATAGATCTCTTTTTGCTTTTTTTTTTTTTTAAATTAAATCCTCACCCAAGGATGTTTTTCTATTTATCTTCAGATAGAGTGGGAGGAGAGAGAGAGGGGGAGAGAGAGAGAGAGAGAGAGAGAGAGAGAGAGAGAGAGAGAGAGAGAGAGATTGGTTGCCTCTTGGCCAACCCTGACCAGGGCCAGGGACTGAACCGCAATCAAGGCGCGTGCTCTTGACTGGAATCAAACCAAGACTCTTTGGTCTGTGGGCTGATGCTCTAACCATGGAGCCAAACTGGCAAGCTGGCCAGGGCATACCATATTTTTTATCTACTCAGCTACTAATAATGGGCACTTGGCCTTTTTCATACTTAGCTATTATAAATAGTACTGCTATGAACATAAGAGTGCATATATTCTGATTGATGTTTCAGGCTTCTTAGGATATATTCCCTAAAGTGGGATCACTGGGTCAAGTGGCAGTTCCATTTTTATTTTTTTGAGAAAACTCCATACTGTTTTTACAGTGGCTGCACCAGTGTGAATTCCCATCAGTAATGTATTAGGGTTCGCTTTTCCGCACATCCTAGCCACATTTGTTGTTTGATGATTTGTTGATGGTAGCCATTCTGGCAAATGTGAGGTGATACCTCACTATAGTTTTAATTTGCATCTCTCTGATGACTAGTGACCTTGAGCATTTTTTTCATGTCTATTGGCCATCTATATGTCCTCATTGGAGAAGTGTCTATTCAGGTCCTTTGCCCATTTTTAATTGGATTGTTTGTCTATAGGTATATGCAAAAAATTGAAACTAGACCACCAACTTACACCATATGCAAGAATAAACTCAAAATGGATAAAAAACTTAAATGCAATGCATGAAACCATAAAAATCCTAGAAGAAAACTTAGGCAGTAAAATTTCAGACATCTCACTTAGCAGAATTTTCGCCGATACATCTCCTAGGGCAAGAGAAACAAATGAAAAATAAACAAATGGGACTACATCAAACTAAAAAGCTTCTGTACAGTGAAAGAAACAATCCTCAAAATTCAAAGGTAACCCACTGATTGGGAGAACATATTCATCATGGATACAACAGATAAGTGGTTAAGTTCCAAAATATATAAAAAACTCATACAACTCAACAAAAGGAATACAAATAATCTAATTAAAATGGACAATATCCAGTCTTAATCAAAGGCAGAACATACATTTTTTAAAAAATGTAGTATTCATTAATTAAATGAGAATAGGAAAGGTTTTTCTTGTTAATTTAAACAAAGATCATCCCACTTTTGTGATAGGAGGTTGTTGTATTACTGCAGATGAGAGGCAAAAAGAAAATAAAAATTGACCTCATCGCCTAATAGTTACATCAGTTATAAAAGTTATAAAACTGATATTTTTTAGGTCATGCCTAAGCTCACTCTAAAATGTCTGCTCAAAAATATGTGACACACAAAAAGAGAAATTTCCCATTCTTCCAATTTGATATTATTACGTTCATATCTCCCCTCATTAGTTTAATAATATTCTAGAAAAAAAATGAGTCTGCTATTAACGGAAGTGGTTTCATTAACATAAAAAATAACCCTTATGTTTGAATTAGGCCTGCATCTAATTATTTAATGAATAAAGGAATAAGGCACTGTATTCTATGATTGTTTTTGGACAGATCAGTAGTTGAGTTGCTTTTAGTATAACCAAGAGCACAGTCTCTGAAACTATGCAAGACCTTTTATCTACAGGTTCTGATTATAGCTCTTTGTGGGTCCTCCGTGAAGAAAAGCCTGAGTAGTTCCACATGCAATTGCACCAGGCAAGGTGTAATCAAGTCATGAACACTGACTGCCCTGACTGAATTGTTTCCCATGGAATATATGCAAAAAATGCACTGTCAAGTCGTGTAATTATCCTGATTCAGTTTCTTTCTCCCGACTCTGCTAGTAGTACATCTCACTATAATGTGCACTCAAGTCTGTAGCAAAAGATTGCATTGTAATGTACTTTAGTGCATACTGATGATTTCTAAGTGAGGGAATGATTTATGAACAATGAAAGTTTATATCCCATAATTAGGTAAAGTGCACAGACTCTGACAAGTAATACACAGTATCAGAATATCACATGTTTTCTGAGTCAATTTGACACTGTATTTGAATTTTTAGACTAAACATTTTGTAGTTTTAGAATGGTTCACGTTGCCTGATTCTGAAATAACAACAGATGTGATGATGCTACTGTGAGAGCACACAGCAG